TCTGTGCTTTAACACTCCACTGCCAACTCCAGAGAATACAAAGTCTTTCTCGGGATAGTCGAGAAACGTCCAGTTTTTATGAAATCCGAAGATTCGTAACAGTGTTTACAAAATCCCACCACTGTGATCTATTTTCATCAATCTGAATTCAGTTCAAATCATAACGAGAATTTTAATATCGATTTTGGATATTTTCTGTTGTTATCTGCTATCCATTTACAACGTTTAGTCTACAGCGAAGTTGTGCGTCATTAAGAATCGTAGCAGTTTTGGGTTTGTTTCTACCTTATGTTATTCTAGTTTTGATTAGGCCAATTAGAGACTATATTTTAAATGAATATAACCAAAGCTTGGTAACTTGATATAAAACCTAACGCGCAACACTGCTATGACTTTTCTTCCGTTCAGAGTGTGTGGTTGGAACTTGTCAACAAGCTAAACACCTTACTCAAATAGAAATTTGCCGTTAAAAAAATATCCACGAAGATATCATAAATCCTAGAGTTATTTTAACGTAAGGTTGACATTATCATTTAATGGCTTAGGATAATCATCCTTAGTGAACAACGTTACACGACAGAAACGTGCCCGTATTTCGACACGTGATTTGCATCGCAAAGTTAATAAATAGCCTTTGTTTCCTTTGCAGTTCGTAAGACACATAAGGCGCTGTTTAAATCAACACGAATACCGATTCGTGTACTTGGAAACGAATCGAGTAATTTTTCCAAGGACGAAACTCAACTAGTAACCCACTAACGTTTAAATACTGCACGTCAACCAGTACTTAACATACAACTGACATTGTAGAATTTAACATAAAAATATAAGCTTTAACAGAATTTGGAATTTTACGAATTCACACACATCTTTCGCCTGTATGAACATGCAAAATTTTATGCAGGACTGCCTCTAAAGCGAAAAATCAGAGTGGACCAAATGAGCTTAAGCCTGTGTAGAAGTGGTAAAAAAACAAATCCCTGACACTACCGGTAATTGAACCCGAAGTCGGTCACTATGCTGACTGAATTACAGCGGCTTGTGAACTAAAACGTCTGAATCATAAAATTATATAATTTTGACTCATGCTTTATCTTATATTACAGTTATATTTTTTAATATTTGGCTGTCATATGTTCTTAGCTGTTGGCAAACACTTTAATAAAGGAACTGAACAGAATTTAATTTTATTATTATTTAAATAAATACACCTAAAATATTATCCATACCTTCAAGCTCTTATAATTGGTCGATGCAACCAAAATTCTAAGTGAACACATTTTAAGCACGGTTCCCCACACTAAATTGCATCAAAAACATGGCAAATAAAAAGACTATGGTACTTTTTCAATAAAAATATAACCCTCTTTGTATGCCCGTTTGCGTATATCATGTTGATTTACGAAAATTATAACCATTAAGTCTTTGAATACAAATGAGACTTAAAAAAATTCAGTGCAATATATAACAGACTATCACAAAATATTTCAAGACAAATCCATTTTGAAATTATGAGTAACAACAAAACAGCTAAATGATCTAAGGACACCACAGTAAGATTTTTCGGAAGGCCCCTAGTTCGAACCTCATTACAGAGTCAGACTATCCTCATATTTCTTTTTTCGATTCACTATTTATCTTGTCATTTATGATACAAAATTTATACAACTCAGGAAATGTCGTTAAATAAGCCAAGGAACGACATATCGGAAGCTGAGGGCGTTCATGACGAATTCATGGAGTGATGTAGTAAAGAAGGCCAAGGCCCTGATCCAACTTAACAACACGAAGAAGACGAATCACAAAAAATGGAAGGAAATCAATACTAAAACAAATAAAAAATCTAAACCTTTGGAAATCCAAAAGTGTAACAAACCAGGTGTTTTAATACATTGTAAGATTATTTCCCAACGCGATAACCTCAGCTTATGCACGAATGAACATGAAAAAAGACTCATCTAACAATAAACTGTCTTATAAGGATTATAAAACTTCAAATCCACTGTCTCACTCTGGGTTATGTCTGCCAGTAATTCTGTACAAAACTAAGCCTGTTTTCAAGATGACCTCAATTTCCCCGCACTAGGAATGAACAGCGCATTAGCGGAAGTCGCGTTTTACAAGAGCAACTGAAAACTATAAGCTGTCCACAAAATGTATCCACTAAGCGTCTCATAGAGATGGCACTACCTGCAAAATATCATGTGAAATGCTTTTATAATTACAAATTATCTTTAAAACGCTTTAGAATGATTTGGAATATTTCAATTAACACAAGGAGAGTAAATATTTTCCAAACACCTTCATTATTATTTGCATTCCCGACTGGCCTTGGTGTTAATTTATTACAGACACAAATCTGTTGTGACAAAGTCAGAATGCTGATATTACAATACAATCATTACACTGCACAGTCTGAGAAACATGTTTAGGATTTGAAGTTTTCACGGCAGTGAGATTGAAGATTACTGTAATCTGGGTTGTTGCACCGTATAGTCTGGTAGACGTCCACCATATCACATCTACCAGACTACACGGTGCAACAACCCAGAAGACAGCAAACTTCAAAAACATGTTTCTCGGTATTCTGTTAAAATGTTCACAACATCAAAGAATATTTCAAATTAAAGGTGCAGATCTTCATTAGTCGTACAGTTTAGGCATGTACCAATAATTTGTAAAATAAAAGGTTTTTAGAAAAAAACCCATTAAGACACAATTTGAGCTTGGTGTACGGTATTGGACCGATACAAAACAAAATTACAATCGTGCGATAAATTTCATAATTTTCTGTATAAAATTTGATCGAAACCCTTTCTGTAGATTCGGATTTGAAACTTTTAAGAAAAGTAAGCACGACCTCGCCATTTCGGTATATTTTATTGACATTTTAAAAACACACAATGACACCCTCAACTATTTATTCTACTTTACCTACTCAGTACCTTTTGTTGTTCAATATGTATTACTGTTTATTTTTTACAAATATGCAGCGTCTAATGGTAGCAGGATTGTGAATGATAAATTTGGAAAAATCTTAAGGGAGTAGACGTGACCTATTTTGATACATTATCCCGGTATTTCTCTTCTTCGTCAAATGTGCTAGCTGTCATCGTTTCCAGTAGTATTTGGCGAAAGTACAAATTATTAAGCTCATTATATTTTAAATGTGCACACAAATTTAACAACTTTAACTGTTCCATCCAAAATGTCTACAGTTCGAATATATAAAATATTAAATCCTGTTCTTATAATCATATGAGTATAATCACAAGCCTATTTCTCTGAATTTGAATAATCGTTAACAATTTATACTAAATTAGATCAACAAGAGCAAACAGTAAAGTAAAAAGTAAGAACAAATCACAATGGAAATAATATTATTATTAATATTAACGCACATTATTTCATAAACCCACCAACACAATTATTCGGCATGGTCTCCCAGTGGTTTGCAGGCTGGGATTTAATACAAGAAAAGCTGGAATTTGCCATTCATTGGCACGTTGCTTCCAGACAAACTGATGTCCCATTTCAGCTATTACGGAAAAACTGGAGTAGGTTTGAATGTGTGTGACGGAGTAGAGTTAATGTTCCAATCATAAATAGCTTCGGCATTAGATGGAAGTAAGTGGTTAACTTCATGCTCCAGCCACTTTCCCGATAAATGAGCCATAAATACCCATTAGATACGTGACTGTGTGAGGCTCAGACCCAGTCTGAATGAAAAATAAAATCACCTCCTGGAAAATGAAACACAGTAATCCAGCCTGCAGTCAATCACCTTACTTATTCACACTATGGTTTCATGCGTAATATAAAACTGTGGAGTATTAGAGACGTGAACTTGAACAGAAACAAGTGACTGAAGAATTATTAGGTAGTAACAATCGATAAGAATTAATTGATAATCGATCTTCAACAATAAACCCCCCAGGCGCGTATGTAACCCTACAGAGCGCCTTTTAAAATCGCTTTGTCCGTTCGTCTGTCTGTCAGTACGTATGAAAAACTCGGGAACGGGTAATCCGATTTTGATAAATAAATACTGTTTTGAGATTTAGTTTCACAATCGAGAAACATAACACATAATTTTACAGTCAGTATCCTAGCAAACTACTGTCGCAGCGTAAACAAATCGAAAGTGTTTGCCTTTTTATTTAAGTCGTTCGTATTTTGATCCAGTACATAAAGCTTTTGTAATACCCTGTGTTTTGCAGCAGAAAATTCAAGAGCCACTACCGGATTACTCTTGTAATACTGTTAAGTCTGTAAAGAAAATCAATTTTACGCAAACCCTCTTCTTTCATCAGAGGGAAAAAAGGCTTTAGAAGCTACTGGCAGGGGCAGGAGTCTAAGGTCACTGACCCCCAGACAACTCTGACCCACTTTTTAATATAGTGTTTCAGATTATAAGATGAGTTTGTCAGGGACTAGATGATGATAATGTTTAGTAATTAGTCTGGGATATATCTGTAAGTTTTACTATTTTAACAAGGCGGCAGTACCTGAAGGAAATCCGTTTCTGAAAGAAAAATTTTGATATTATCATCTACGTCTTCAGAATGGTTTCTTTTCAGGAGGTTACAAAACAAAACATCTTCTTCCCTTTCGCAATGATTTTCTTATGTGTTAGGTTGAAGAAGACGTTTCCTTGTACATTTAACAACAATTTCTCGACTGCACGTGCCACATAGAGCCGAGTGTGAGGATGATCGGAATTCACAATCGTGAAGCGGTTATGTCTTATTTTAAGATACTGTATTATGACTTTGCGGGACTAAGTAAAACCACGAATCACAACGGGATAGCGGCACTCCGGGTCGAGAATTGAACTCGTGATATCACAAATAAAAACAAGTAACCCGCAACAAGAAGAAAAATGTAATTTCAAATACGTTTATCGAGCGGTAAGTTCAGTGGCAATTGACTAATTCTGCCCACCCTTATCGGAGGCCAGGACTGGGTTACCAGCCGTCGAGGAGCCTTGTTTGGAACACCGGGTAGTCCATTGCAGCCGTGGGTGAGTAAGAGGAACTAACCCAAGCAGTAACGAGCTAGTCGCGTGTGCTTGAAGACGTGAAGTGAGTGTCGGTGGAATAACAATGCTGCCATATATGCCATTCGTGAACGAGTATTGGCCATTCATTGTAGCGGGCGTACTTTGCTACCTGGGGGCCAGGTTCGCGTATAACAGTGCAGTGTCATGGAACCCGAAACCCAGAGGGGCACAAAGCCACAAGACCCCCGACGAAGGTACGTTGAATCCCATCATTTTATCTGTCTTTTTATATAGATGTGAAATTAGGTCTCTTGCACCAAGGAAATACCGTAATTGAATATATTGGAAGATGTTCAAAATACTTGGAATCAAGAGAGATGAAGTGTGCCTCTAAGAGAACTGGAGGAATTTATACACTGGAAAACTCCACAATTTGAAGGGTACTCTTCACGTATTATTGTTAGAGAAATCATACCCAAGAAGAATTAAACATGTGGAAAATGAATTATGAACACAAAACGTTTGTTGAAAATCTCGGAGACATATGAGTACATGACAAAAAATATTAAAATGAGTTTTAGACAAGTACTGTGTGAAGAAGTGGGCTGGATTTAACCGGTTTAGAACACGTGACCTTTCATGAACACCGTGATGGACCTTCGGGTTCCATAAAAGGCAGGAAATTTGGCCAGCTGAATAGCTATCAACTGCTTAAGATTAGTCAGTCAATTATATGATCATTCCTTAGCCTATGTAGTAAGGCGTTGGATTAGTTTCAGTGGAGGACCGATGATGGTAAAATGTACTGACTGGTAAATGAATATGAAGTACAACTGTGATGATAACTGAGAGGGAAACAATGAAGTATTCTGAGAAAAACTTGCCACTTTGCCTACCAGAAATCCGGTGTGGGCTGCAATGGGATTCATCCCGGGGTTCCGCAGTTGGAATTCGGTTTCTAATTGCCTGATGACACCGAAGTCTCGTTAAGTTCTCGTGTGTTATTACATTTCTAAATAACGCCAGGGGGACGATCGCAATCAAATTATAATCGTAATTGGCAGCTGAATCACCAAATTATATTTTCCTCACACAAATCTTACAAGGGGTCAGGAGCCGAACGACGCACTTTCGATTGGATGGAGATCGGATGATTATTTATTCATTTGTTTTATTTAACGACGCTGCCAGCAGCTACATTGAAGACAGCAGTGAAATGTCCATTAGGTATGTGTTGTACGGACGCAGTACGTGAGCAATGAGACATAAATCGATAACGGCCTACGCAGTTCATGAGTTGCATCCCGAAATCTTTTGCTTCATAGATTTGCGGCGACGTAGAAGGGAGTACTGCAGTACGAAGCACACATATTTTCCAAACGCTCTGTTTATTTTACATCTGTCGTTGTTATTTTATATTAGCTGTTGCACAAAAAACAAGATTCATAAAACGCTTATCACAATACATAATATGACTGAGAAGAATATCCAATTTTTGTTACAGTAGCAGAGGTTGCAGATGAGGAAGAATATGATGAAGACGATGGTCAGAATCTAGACCTTACAAGTGCATTGCCATGGGATCTGGAGCATGTGCCCCTTGAATTTAAACGCTTGCCTGTGGAAGAAACAATCCGGCGCTCTATGGAATTCTATAACTTTATGAGCACTCGACGTACAGTCCGGTTTTTCAGCTCTGATCCCGTTCCAGCTGATGTAATCCGCAACATTATCAGGGTTGCTGGTAGGTTAGTCCAAAATTGGTAATTCACTTACACACTCAAAATCTTGTTTCTTTCTGAGATACCTATTACTGAGATGCACAAGTTTGTCTGATGATTGGTTATTCCTTCACTATCTTATGATGTATCAACTAACTGAGGTCATACAGTATCAAATGGAATATGGCAGAAAAACTGTGAATATTGAACTGGGAGGGAATTGGATGGATGTTGGAATGATCTGTGTGAAAGCAATAAAAAAATGTTGAAATAATTATTTTAATAACAATTAAAGATATTTATTTGTATAACTGCATGGACAGACTTTTTCAATAGAGAATAAAAAAGTTGCTTTCGATGTTCAGTAAACCTTTGTTACTGAAGATGCAAAACACCGAATTTTATCACTGTTTATTTTTAGCATGACCATTCAAATATGTTATAGGTTTGAAGATGACTGTCTTCTAGGTTTTTGCGCAGTGTAGTCTGGTAGAAATTTACCGACGTTTCAGAGGTCCACGCTGCCTCCATCATTGCTCTGGCAGCATGAACCTCTGAAAATCGGTAAAGTTCTACCAGACTACACAGCGCAAAAACCCAGAAGACTCACTTCAAACTCACTGCCGTGAAAACCTCAAATCCTACGTTATAGGTACCTGAAGAAAATAATTTCAGTATTTACAGGCCCCACAAATAGTAAGTCTCTAAGCTGTAGTGTATTTAGTTAAAGCTTAAATTATGTGTACATTATTAAAAGAAGAATACTATGGGTGCTAGAGTGAACAACATTCATTTTGTAAGCAAATATTACTGCTGTGCATGTTGGACAGTCTGGTACTTGGAATTAGTTTAAGATTAATCACACCACTTCTTCCTTCAGGTACAGCCCCCAGTGGGGCCCATACAGAACCATGGACATATGTTGTAATATCTGACCCTGAGGTGAAGAAGAAAGTAAGGGAAACTGTTGAAGAAGAAGAATACACAAACTACATTAAGAGAATGGGTGAGGTCTAACAGAGGCATTAGTAATTATTAGGCCATCATCTGAAAGGAATAACAGGCTGGCACAACACACGCTGTTTCTGTGTTATGTGTGCCCCTCCAGCCCCCCACCTATTATCTTTTGACTAAAAATGATCACAATGTTAAGAGGTGATTATGATGCAAATTATTATCATAATTTATGCATGCTGTCTGAGTTAAGACCATAATTGGCAGAATTATGAAAATGTAAATAATACTATGGCATTTTACTAAAATTTGTTGATACGTTTTAATTTTGCCCAACCTCCAATAACAACAATGGACATGTGTTTCTGTGTGAATCTCAAATATTTATAAGGGTTAGAAATGTAATTAATGTAAGTTGTGGAGAAAAATGAAAAACATTTTGTGCCCAGTACTCTTTTTTTCTATAAGTCACACAGTTTTTGAGATAATTAAACAAAGGTCAGAATTCACAAATTTAAAATCTGCAAGCGCATTTTCCAACTTATTTTATGTAAAACTGGAGGTAAATGAATGATGAATATGTAATATATCTTCAGTTCAGTACTGACAACTGATGAATGATTATAAATAAGAATTTGAAATCATTATTATTTTTTGAATTATATTATTGTCACTGACTGTTCATACATTTTCCATTTTTCAGTAATATGTCCAGTTATGATGTATTTAATAAATGATTGTACATTTCATCATCAGCAATTTCAGCTTCAATAAATGTTTAATGTGCACAATTTTGACGTAAATACGTCTATATTTTAGGGTTAGTGTCATTCGGCAAAAAGTGTTACGAAAAAGTGTAACTTCATTGTTATGTTACCTAGGAAACGTCATATGTTTATCAACAAATAAACAACAATGGTTACCTAGGAAACTTCATCTGTTTATCAACAAATCGACAATAATGGTTACCTAAGGAACATCTATTTACTCGGCATTTTTGTTACTAAGGAAACGTCATCTGTTTACTCGGCATTGTTGTTACCTATAAAATATTACTTTATTTTACCTTACATTACATTACCTTACCTTACATTACTTTAGATTATATTACCTTACCTTACCTTACATTACTTTATTTTACCTTACCTTACCTTACATTACTTTACATTACATTCAGCTACCAATATATAAACTTCCTTTCCGTATAAACATATTTACGTCAAATTCTCCGGAACCGTGGTTCCACTATCACTTTTTTCTTCATTAATCACTATTATAATGAACATCAGATAACGGATTCTGCACGTTCTTTTGTAACACTAATGAATGCAGTTACTAATAAGAATTTATAATTTACAGTATATACCAAATAAAGAACTTTATTTTACGGAAAAATTTTAAATCTTAGTCGTCTAGACATAGAAATAAAATGAAAGTGACCACTATACAAGAACCAAAATATTCTAACCTTACACCTAACAAAAAATTTACATTTGCCATCATCTCATACAGTACAAGCCTACAATATTTGTAAATTAATTAAAAATGTCAATGTCTCGACTACTCTTCAAAGCTGGTAATCCTACCAACCACCGTTAAATATTATGATATTATGATGTAAGGACTGCAGAAATTACATGTATCACGTAAAACAAATTAACTGTGTTACAGGTGACCAGTGGACCACAGATTTGAAGCCTCTAAAGACATCCTGGGTCAAGGAATACCTAACAGATGCTCCGTACCTAATCCTCGTATTTAAACAGTTGTACAGTTATAAGGAAGATGGAACTAAACGCATCCACTACTACAATGAGATGAGCGTTTCCCTGGCTTCAGGCATCCTTATTGCAGCCATACATGTGAGCAGCTCACCGCTGTAACCTTACATAATCACAAAGCTTCTTCTTCTTCTTCTTCTTCTATGGCTCTCCAGTCCGTATTCAGTCCATGGCCTCCTCAATTCTCCTCTTCCATTCGGTCCTATTGTTATGTCTGTCTGTCCGAGGCTTTGATTGAGTTTTCGAAACATCTTCCTTTTTACGGTGCGAGGTTGTTAGCCTTGCGACCAACCCCCAACCTGGATGACCAGGGTACCTGGCTTAGTCTGACCTCTCCTCCTCCCACAAAGCTTAGCAGAACTATTTCAGACACTTGCAGCATGAATATAGCTTTCCAACGCAAATAACTCGTAATTAAAGTCAACTCTGATTTCAACCTGAGTGAAGAAATTGACTAGATGAGTGATCAGCAGCTTATCAGAAAGAACTGTTGTCAGTTATTTTTAGAGTTTTTTCAGTATTATGACATTTAGCAAACTAATAATCTTTGTTTGTATGGAACCCAAAGTTTCATCACCATCTTAAAAATTCAATCATATTAATTGATCACATGGCCATAATTTATGTATAGAAGCAATATGTACTATGAGAAAATGTTATTTAGCCCTGAAAAACATTTTCTCCTCAAATACGTGACCATACTTTCTGGTACCGCACAATGTTTCATAACTTTCAATTTCTTTCCTTCAGTACAGTATTTGCATATGAAGGAAAATGATCAATTTTAAAATAAATTTCAACCGAGTACCTTAATTATTTGTGGTTACAGTATGCTGGGTTGGTATCCTTGACCAGCACTCCACTTAATTGTGGGCCTGCTCTGCGAACTCTGGTTGGAAGGCCCGTATCCGAGAAACTCACGCTGCTACTGCCAGTGGGCTACCCAGCTAATGACGCTACGGTACCAGACCTCAAACGGAAACCACTCGAAGACATTTTGGTGGAAATATGATTTCAGGCTGTGAGAAACAGACAACAGCTTCAACAATTTTACATCACACTTTGGTGACCTCAATCACAAATTGCCAGAAATACTTTTTTTTAATCCCAGTATTTTCATTAAAGACTTAAACTTCCATAATGAAATAATAATTTAGATCACAATGCAACAGCAGGAAACACTTTGGTATAACTAGTAGTGCACTACCAGAAAACTAAATTTGGAGAAATGTTTCAATATACAACACAACAGTGGCATGATAAATATCTTAGCAATGTGGTGCAATTGTTGGAGGGACCTAACAATATTACATTTCTGTACAATGTAACTTTAGACCAGGATTCACCTACCACAGCTGTGCAAAGAAGGTAGCAACAGAGGTCCGTAAGCTGCATTCCACAAAACTTTTCATTAGGGACATTTAAAAGACTAAAAGCAGTAAACATAAGATTTATATAACCTTCACTGCTGTTAGAAGTGAAAACAATCAAAAAACAGATATCAGATAAAGATTAAATGTTCCAAAAATCAGTAAAACTGCAGGGCACCAAAATAATAATTTCAACAAAGAATAAACACAAACAAAGCTGGTACTGCAATATAAACATTTGAGCAGAAATATCCTGGAATGATCAGCTATACCTAAAGGTTTTAGAAGTAAACATTGAAGCCTAATCTGGCATACCTGACGATGCTGGCGGCAAAACTGTAGATATGTTAAAACCAGATAAGATAAATAGGTAAGTAAATATAAGTGTTAAAATAGAGCAACAACACAAACTGGTTAAATGCATATAGGTGAAGTAAAATAAGAACCTTTATAGATCATTATGCAGCAGAAGTGACAACAATTCTGACTGCACTTGGAATAACCAGGAATCTGGCCTCAGCTGTTAACAAACATACATGTAAATTATCAGTTTTTATTTCATCATTTTACTCTACATTTACACAAATCCTAACATAACGGACCAAGATTTGGGACGAACCAGTTGTTCAAACAGCACCGTTCACAAGAGATATTTAATGATATTATTGCACTTAATGGTTATCAAATGCTTCAATGACTCATACAAATCATTACTAAAAAGTAATGTGTTCTGGGTACCAACTGCCCATACTATAATTATTTCTGGCATTGTATGTGATTACAGCAGCGCTGCTACCCGGAATTCTAGAAAAATGCCTTTAATTTGATCAGTGCCGCATCTTCAGTATTTGAAACTAGAGCTGTCAAGATCAATTAATTTTATAATCAAAATTTGTTTCTGCTAATTATTTAGTAGACATTATATTATTCCACTTATTTCTGAAATTCCAAAAGCAAAATGTTGGCCTCAGATATCACAAAAATTTGCTGTATTGTTTATTCATGACATAAATCTACTGAAGCCATGGTCACAAAACTGAATCTTGGGCTGATTCCCCACTGTTACCAGACAACACCATCAAAGGTACATCAGCATTAAAATAATGTACAGAACTTAAATAAATAATAATAAACTGCTTTTTTCAGTTTTTAATTTTCTTTCATCCTTTTATTTACTACTAATGCAACAAACTAGGCAATGTAGGACAATTGTCATTTGTTGAAAGAAGAGTGTGGGCCTCATTGCCCTGGTCCCATAACTGGTAACACTGCATTTTACCTCAATCTTGTGGTGTGGCCATGGCTACGTAATTTATTAAAATTCTGTATTTTAAAATCTTATAACTTATGTTGATGCAAGAAACCATTCACTTGTCTCTCTCATCTATTTTGAAAACATGCTGAACAAATTTTGTCCAAGTTCAGACTTTATATCATATGTCCATTACTTACTTCCAAATAAATTAGTTGGCATTTTTCATGTCATTTATATTAACCAAGTATTTTCCTGATTAATCACTTAAACATTTTAACTGATTAACAGCTCTATTTAAAACCCCAAGAGAGCTAAAATTACAGTGACCATGTGTCAGCATGACCTGTTGTTTAACTGATTACATATGTTTACACAAATAAATGTTTCAAGAAATTATGGATATTTCATTATTAATTCATATGACACACCAGTAGTTTTACAAATTACAGAATATGGCTCCATACACAATACACAAAAAAATTGAATCTCTATGCAATAAATGTAAATAAGGCCTTAAAAACCCTAAACAAATCAAGCTCAAAGAATCAGAGAGAATGTATATTTAGTGTCAAATGTGACAAGAAGTATAAAATTTGGAAGGACGAGGGAAACCACAGAAAAAACCTGTCAGGACAAATAATTACCCAGCCAAAATTCAACCTTGGTGCCACTTGAATACAGGTAAATCTGTTCAGGGGAAGAGGAGAAAGACGAAGAAACTGTCTTGAAATCCCGCAAAATATTGGCTAATTAACGCTTAAACAGTAAATAATGTATATGTATGCTTGTGGAAGGACAAGAACTGTGCCAACTCTATATGTCTGATGCAAGAATAGCAAAAAGAAGAGACAACATTCTTACCATTATAACATTATCAATCAATTCTACTAACTACAAACTAGGAATCATATCTTGGCTACAAATTATCATCATCTGTGGCTCTACAGTCTCTGACATACCTTGGCCTTCTCACACATGGGAGGTTACTTGATCTACTTAGATATTTGGTAGGAATCCTTAGATGAGTGATCACAAGGGTTGGCTACAAATATATACTTAAATGTAAACAAAAGCAGTACTAAAACACTGGTCCTAATATGGACCTAAATGTCAGGACTAGAAATGGTACAACTCTTAAACAAACTAGGATCATAACACAATATTCCTCAAAACAGTGAAACTTCTTTAGTACAACTGCTGAATGTTTCCCAGTTTTAAAATCTCACTTTTGATAACCATCATTTCATTCACATACTTCTTCATTTTGTCTGTACTTGCAGAGAGTTTACTTTTATTCCTGCTTAACAATCACGTTTTCAAAGATCTTTCATGACAGTAATTTTTAATCATTTAAACATTCTGTTTCAACAACAGAGGTTAATACACTTAGGCCACTAGGCAGCTGTGAACACAGCACACCCTTTCCACCACATGTGAACAACGCGCTGGTTGCTGCAACTCAGCACGAGTGATAACAGGAAATGATAATATACTCCCTTGTGATATTCACATTACTCAGTGTTGTGGAAGATGCCTTTTTGATTGACATGGATAAGTTACCTCTACAGCTTTGTGTGCTTTTATACAAAACTTACACAAAGTGTTAGTCTGCTAGGAAAAACCAGGGATAACTCAGGAAGAAGTTTCCTAGGGTTTGAGTTATCAAAGGAACTATTCAGAATCTTATTAATAAAGTTAACTGGTATGTTGATAGGATACCAAAATGTTAATATCCAATATTAACATAACTTTGTTGTAAGACAAACAGCCTATGCCCCAGAATATTATTTTGTATGTTCAAATAAAATCAAACCTCACATAAGAAACTCTACTTGGGATCATAAGATACCAGATACTACTGGAACACATGGTTTGTATGGCTGCAATTTCAGTAGTTTTGCAGCTCTTGCAATCCTTTCACACAACACTGTAGTGTAAACTTATCCACACCCAACACACAGAAAATCTTTTAGAACACTTAGCCACATGTAAATATCACATACGAGTGACTCACAGCAATCAACAGTCATTGCATACAGCAGAATGAGCATGACTGTCAAAACTAACAAATATCCTCCCCGTAGCCTCATGGTATTTACCTTGAAAGACTAAGCGGTAACGGTTCATCAGTAAGAATAGCCAGTAACATGGGGACAATTCAAACCGAGTATTTCTAGAATACAGGTCTGAAGCATTATAGCAACACTAATCTATTCAGTAAAAGATATTTTGAAAAGAGTCTGTTATCATTATAAAATATCTACAAAAATCAAACTTCGCAGAATTGTGTAATGATACAGAAGTCACAACTCTGTGACACAATGTATGCAAAAAAATAGAAATTACTCAGAAACTTGTGTTTACCACACAAGTATTTCACTGTCTCAATAACATTGGCTCTGATATTTTTACCAGAAGGATATTACACTTTACTACCAATTTTTTTTAAAAAAATTATTTTCTTGGCCTCTTGAAAACAGTACTACAGATGTTTCACCATTTCTTCTAACCACATTACAAAAATTCAAAAACATTACATCCTTAATTATGCAGATATCAAAACATAAATATCAGGTACACATTGTATAATTTTTCAGAATCAGAATGAAAGACAAAGTAGCATACTTCTTAAAAAAGTTTCATATTTGGTCAAAACTAAGGAAAAGAAAAACATCTCCATAAGTTATTTTCATGTCAGAAACATTCTCAGCATAAGTATCACAATATTATAGTGGTCACAAGCCTAAAGAGTTAGAAAAATTTCTGTTATGTTGTTCTCAATTTTGTGATGTAGAAAACAAAATGCACATATATATCACTACACTTAATTTCAATAAAATAAAACTTAAAAATACAGTTAATAGATTATATGGTTCTATTCTGTAAAATAAAGAAGGCTAGAACTAAAAGAGTAAAAAAATCACTAATCCAATTATATTTATGCCAAAAATCTATTTGCTCTTAAAAAGAACGCAGTTCCAGGATATTTATTTCTCTATTATAGCATACTTCTTCCCCTTTTAGACTTTCTGCAGCTGTGATGGGGGTCTGGTATTCCTAACACACACAGTTTGTTCCTTACTTTGCTATGGATGAGGAAACACAGCTTGCAGCAAAAGATGGCTTTGATCTGGTTGGTCTCAAACCTGAGACTTTCTGCATGGAACCATCACATTCCCTTACAACTTCATAGTGGCATGAGGAAGGGTGTCAAAATGTTGTGTAATTTATTTTCTCATTTTCATAGTTGCCTATTCTCATATTTAGTAACTGTCAACCATTTCAGTCTTCTTCCTTCAAATGTTCTCCTTCCATCACTTAACACATTCCCCTTCCTATTGTGTTTCTTGTATCCTCCTCCCATGTCTTCCAGCTGGTACACAGTGAATCAGAAATTTTGGATTCATATGTTCTCTCTTCCTATTAATACCATAGTTGCCTAACCTCCTGAGTTTTTTCTACATCCATTCTTTGCATATTTAATTATATATGCAGCTCTTCTTAGTCAATCTTGCAGCCATCTTATCTAAAAATTAAATCTTATTTATCTCAAATTTTGTGTCCTGTAATAGTGCTGAACAGAATTTATGTCTATGAAAAAGGAATTTTCATTTGTAAATACCAAATAACACATAATTTGCCAAATAATTATTTCTGTGACCTGTTTCACAGTCATGCCATACATCATTTTAACTGAAACACTAGATACTTAAAACTTACAACTTACAAGACACCAAAATATAAGATCCATATCTACAATGATCAGTATCACTTAAAATTAATTAAATTCATATTAAACCTGAAATAAGAATCATGCTCTCAGTTTCCAGATCAGAATATTCACTGGGGTGATATGTAGCTCAAGTAAAAGGATATGAGAAGTCTTTGGCTTTAGTTTTATACAAGGAATGATACAACAGTATCACATCAAATCTGGACACATGTTATAATTTAGATCTCAAATACAAAAAATGATAACAATAGCAAACACCAGAGTGAATATGATTTACATAACACTAATACAGTGAAGTAAATTTTTACGTGTTTGGAATACTCTGCACTCTGTCACCACATTTCATCAAACTGTTTCCAATTCCTGCCATCCTGGCCAATGGCAGTACTGCAGTCTGCTCAAATCATCATGTCACGGGCCTGTTACTGTTCACATCCAGAGCAGCATGATGTAATACTTCATTCTCACAATGTACACACAAACAAGGTAAATCGCTTGAAATATTCATTTTGTATTATCAATCATCACTGATCAATCCAGCTTTTTCTGCATAACAAATCTTCTGTAACAAAAATAAAAATATAAGTTTAGTGTGAGCCTCATCAACACATGAAAGCCATCAGAAAGATCACACTGTATCCACTCACAACTTATGACGCATTTATAGCACAGAAACCCTCATATGGGATCAGATTCATGGAAAATATTTTTAGTTCAGTTTAGCAATGTATCAAAGACAAAAGTCTTTCGCCTCCTACAGCCAAACTCTAAAATTATCATACATTACCTAAGCTGCAGTTTCTCTCACAATAAATTTAACTGAAATAATGTGATATCTTATTTATTATATCATATTTTGGAACATAGGTTCTATTGTATTTAACTTATAAGTAACCATTTTATTACTTACAAAATAATTTGCGGCAGGTCAGGTGATTTGTAGATGTATTTATGTCCATATTTATAATTCTTGTCAAATGGAACAAATTCAACACGGCCAGCATCTTTAGGTCGTATCTGAATGGCAGTGTTGTACAGCTAAGAAAGTAAACATATAATATAAACAGATTAATACAAGTAAGCTCAGTGCAACAATTCCAACAAGTTTGCTCTATTATTCCAACTGGATTTTTAATTCATGAATGCGAATGTGACGCTGTCTTATAAATAGTGTAAAATAGGTGAGGGCAGATGAGTTACACTTCACATTTCAGATGTGCAAAGGAATGTATGGAAGTTTCCTGCAAAGTGTCCATTACTGTTATCAGATGTTAACCAAAAACTATGCTGTCAACAAACGTGAAAAAGACTCATCAATAATAAATATCATAAAAATCCAACCAGCAGTTCTAAAGCTGTTACATGTGGCCAGACAACTTTGTTACGGTAACAGGCATATTTTTACAACATTGGTTGTGGAAGCACCAAAAGAAGAACACTGTTGTAAGAAAATACATCAAATCCAAACCCTGCACTGTGAATTCACAATAGGAATTAATGGTTCAGAGACATGACCTCATCAGGGCGATTACTCATCACCCTGATGATGGAGGCAGCAAGAACATCTGAAATGCTGGTTAACTTCTACCAGACTACATGTCACTACAGCCCAGAAGATCTTTATACTCACCACTGTGAGAACCACAAATTCCACAAAGCAAGCACATATTCAGTCTGACAAACTTTATTACTATGAAAGTTACAGCATGAAGATCTAAGATGGAGAAACAAACACTCCCTACAACCAAGAAATCATAAATTGCTGATGGCACAGTACATTTCCTGATGAACAATAATATCTGTAGAACATGTACAGTAAAAGTACAGACTTATACTACGTAACAACACAAAATTACAATACTGATGAAATATATACATACCCTCTTCCCCAACAGGAACGGCACAACCATATCATCCTCAGCATGCAGTATCAGGACTGGTGATTTGATACTTCCCAAATGTCTGTCTGTCTCAAACAATAGCTGGTTTTCTCCAACAGGATCCACAAAGAAGAACTCAAACCATGGCAACTGTCTGTACAGCTAATCAGGAGGGAGACACATTACCTCACTGGGATGGTTTCTAACTGATACGCACACATCGTGCAAAATAGAGAATGTGTAACAGACACGCTGTCTCTGTTTCACATTCAACTCATTTGGGGAAAATAAGAAATGCACACATTTTGGCTGTAAAACCTCAAAGGAAGAGACCTCTGTGAGACCTAAGTATAAATGGAAGAATAATAGTAAAACAAATCTTTAAAATATTACTCCAAAGTGTTTGCTTACTAAGACCAAATTAGTTTCCACTTTTACAGGTATAACAGTGAACACTGAGCACTTATATAAAATGTAAGGCAAAACCATTAAGTATGTTATATCCATAACCATAGAATCATCCACATGTAGGAAGATTAAAGTTGAGAGGCTGAGGTTGGCAGCCTCACCTCTCAAAATTAAATGTTGTGTGCACACATTAATCTAATGTTTGCTCTAACATCCACATGATTGTTATTCACATTTTTAGAACTATTTATCTAACCTTTGAAAATGGATGTTCCTTAAGCTCATCCCTAAGATTGTTAAATGGTGATTCCAGAATCAATCCATCTGCTTTCTTTCCTTCTTGGGCAAGCAAAGACAAAGCATGTGAAGACACACTGAAAGGGAAGAAAAAGCATAAGATTCATCGTATCCACATGCAAAACTTGTTTGAATAGCCTCAAGTATCACACTTCACATGGAATACTAAATATGGAAAACATGCAAGAGAAGTTTCCACACTGTCTCATTTCTGGTCACCACCATTCCCCGGCTTATTCTCCCCTAACAACTTTCTTAGAAGTAACTGCAGGGCAATATTCTAAACATGGCCCAACACTTCAGAAGAACGCAAGACCAGAGTAAGGTAAGAGCTTCAGGCTACACTACAAGAGTTGTTATGACATACAATGTATCATTGCACTAGGTGCCTCCACGAGTGCATCACTGTGAAAGGCGCTTATTTACTACAATATCTGAATCAAACTTACATTCCACCTTTCAAATTACATAGTAATGTGCAAATTTACATTCAAATAAAACCCACAATGTAGTCACAAATGAAAACAGCCCACTCCGTACTTACCCTGTGCCAAGAGAATGACCCCACACATACAGTGGAGATGCCTTTGCTCTTTCCTGAACCCAGCTGAACACATATTTCCCATCACTCACTACACCCATTTCTGAAGGAGAAACAGGACTTGAATCACCATAACCTTAAGGAGGGAACAAACTTGATTAGTGTAACAATACAGAAGTGCTAATAAATAATCAAAGATACAAGCAATGGGAATCTGACCTATGCTTTAAGCCTGAATGACTTACAAGTACAATATGGCTGTCTCTTTGTCTGTCCATACACATGTCATCTGTTTGTCTGCCTGGCCATCATCTACCTACTTGTTCATACAAAGGGCATTGACTTCTGTCAGTTGGAAAGGGCACAGGCTAAAGGGCAAATTAGTTTACAAGTTACTTAATGACACCATATCAATCACACACATTTAATATCAAATGAGACACAAATAGTGAGTAGGCATGAATGTTAAAAGGGGTGGTCATAGACTATTTAAAAATACTACCACAGAATTCACCTTCAGTGACTGAGGAAACACATAGACAACCTCAAAACCCCATTCAGGTTAGCTGGTAACACAATGGGTACCTCCCAAATGGAAGTCATACAGCATTCCAATGTACCAATCTGTCTGCTAAATGAAATTAGAAAATGACCATGTCTCATTAAGTGGGGGGTGGGATGTTGTTGTGGCCTGCTTTATCCCTTTGAATTCACTGTATGTTCATGATGTGAAGCAGCCTTAAAAAAATATGGTGCAAGGATGTAGACTGGATCATCTGTCTAAGGACAAAGACCATCAGTAGGCTCTTGTGAACATGATAATGAATCTTTTGGATCCATAAAAGTAGGAGAATTTCTTAAATAGCTGAACAGCTGATCCTCAAGGGATCTGAACCACCAAGTTAGTTCTGAAATGAAGTGAGGGTAATATACAGAGAATCTTTCAATAATATTATATACACATAAAATCACACTGAATTTTACTGTTTTGTCTTTTTATTTGAATTAATATGGAAGAAAATTTACATTTTCCATCTCTAAGAAAGATTTTATTTTATCACCTGAAAGTAGATGCACAGTGCAATAAAAATGACAGCCATGTAAAATTTCTAGAATGGATGTAATTAAGTCTGGCATGTTATGCAATTATTTTTAATGTTGTTCTAATCAAGTGTGGTAAAATAAAGATTTAAAAACTCTAGAGACTTCAAATATGTGTGATAGAACTCCTCACTACAGAACCATGTAATAAATTAACTGATGTAATTATTAATACATACATACATCTTTATTACATTCCATGGATCCATAAGTTAGTCAGATGACAATAGGATGTAGAATAAGTCATAATAATACAATACATGTTATACAAATACAAGTCATATAAATGTCACAAAAATACAAACAAAGGATAAATTACGACTTACTTGTAGACATTAGGAATTCATCGACA